TGTGTGTGTGTGTGTGTGTGTGTGTGTGTGTGCGCGTGAGTGTGTGTCTTGATGCTCCTATGAAATAAAGCGTTGAGGTGTGTGTTTCAGATGTGAGGAGAGGCGCTGGTGTGTCATCACAATAAATCGGTCCGACTTCTAAGTAGAATAGCTCGTGGCAAAACACACGCAGACAACACACCAAGACAGACACTGAGGTGCAAATGGACACATAAAACATGAAAGGACAGGGCACACACACTCTTGCGGAAACACAAACATCCAGTCGAATCAATTACACGGCTGCATAGAAAATCCAAACCGTCTTCGCGATCCGCCGGGCAGTCTACAATGCAGATCTGAATCGAATAAGAAAAAGCCATCTTGCCTTTTGCCATTTCATCTTTGCAAGAAATCCTCCGTCACTTCCGCGGGGACACAGTCGCAGAAAGGAAAAGTCACGTCCATTCCGGCCGACGGGAAGTTTTTATGCAAGGAGGCATCAACTTGGAACAACAGTCCTCTGCTGTTTTACAACAGAGGTTAACTTGCAACATTTGTGTTGTCCAAATCGATTGAAATCAAAATGGATCGGATCCAAGAGCTGACTGTCAACATGGAGTCACCCGACGCTTTTGCGTAGTGCTTGTCCTCTTTAGGGTCGCGGATCTTATCTCGATCTTATCCGAGCTGACTTTAGGCAAGAGGCCGGGGTTCGTCCTCAACTCGTTGCCAGTCAATCAAGAGGGCACAATGAACTTTTTGCTCACCCTTCCAATTGTGCGCCTTGACGGTGTTTAAATGCGAATGTTCCACAGTCATTTACAGACCTTGCCTGCGTGCGCGCTTAAGCTAGAGCATTTGCATGAGACGGAACAACAGGAAATGAATATTCCAGCTGCACTCGGAGAGGAAGATTGTGTCTAAAACGAGAACCAGGATGAAATTGGGGCGTGTTCCGAATGATACGAGCGCGTTCCCAAAAAGTGACTGCATGGAGCTGAAATCCTGATCACGGTTCTTATTCCCTTCCACACAAATGCAAATTCCAAATGAAAACACGGCAACAACATGACCACATGTGTTAACGCCTTCACAGACTCAAAGCTTCTTCCAAAAAAATCAACAAACAGTGGCTGGATTTTTCTTTATAAGAGCACTCCTTTACTGCAAAACACGATCTGCAAAATGAAAGATGAAGCGGCGAAGTTTCTGGCGCCCCGTAGCTTCCTACTCGACTCTGCTTTCCTCTTCGCCTCTTATTTCGTCTACATATTGACTGATGTCGTACTTTTCCATAAGCCCCCTAGTGTTCGGAATGAAACACAACATAACTGAAAGACCAGGCGCTGCAGTTGAGTGGACTGGTTGGCAAGACCTTGAAGAAAAACATGCACTTAGCTTTTCAACGCCAGCGCAGAGACGGTGTTGGTTTAAAAACTAGTTTTACGTTTTTGAACAATATTGGACGAAAATAAGACCTGTTCATGTTCACCGCGAGAAGTATTTGTGTACTCAAATGTCATTATTTGTACTTCAGAAAATAGTATCAGTGCATCTTCAATAAAATTCATGAGCCTGGACTGAGATTTGATTCCCGTAACTCAGAACTGTGAGCCACAAGTGCTAGCCACTATTGCGCCATGCTCAGTATTCACAGCGTTTTGTGTAAAAACGCTGGAAAAACACAAAATCGAACAGTCTCATCGTGCTTTTATAACCAAGTAACCGTTTTGGGTTTTTTTTTTCTTCATGGTGTGATTTAAATTTGGTGTGCTGCGTTCTCAGCGTGAAATAAAGCCGATCATAAGGATTTTCAGCTTCACTCCTTTTGCAGTACTTATATAGCTGCGCACCCAGGGGGTCATGGACAAATAGTGTGAGCGTGGGAGTGGGGGTTAGATGGTGGACATCGGCCTGTTGGGGGTGCAACTTTATCAAAAAGTCACGTCGGCAAGCGTGAGGAGGGATGCTCCCACTCTCCCTCCTCTCATTCATTTTCATTTCTGCTATATTTCAAGAATACCCTTTTTTTTGGGGGGGGGTCATGGACAAATAGTGTGAGCGTGGGAGTGGGGGTTAGATGGTGGACATCGGCCTGTTGGGGGTGCAACTTTATCAAAAAGTCACGTCGGCAAGCGTGAGGAGGGATGCTCCCACTCTCCCTCCTCTCATTCATTTTCATTTCTGCTATATTTCAAGAATACCCTTTTTTTTGGGGGGGGGGACGGGTCTTTTACTTTCTGCCTTTGTTACTTCACTTCCTCTCTTTCAGCAGTCTTATTAACATTCTCCACGCACACGTAATTGATTCCTCATGCCTGACTCTTGTGAAATGTCATTCATAATTCTCTGTGATAGTTATGTGTGTGTGTGTGTGTGTGTGTGTGTGTGTGTGTAGTTATGTGTGTGTGTGTGTGTGTGTGTGTGTGTGTGTGTGTGTGTGTGTGTGTGTGTGTGTGTGTGTTATCTGGCAGGGAAGTCAGTCTGCGGGCTCACACAGCAAAGTGGCCACTGACCTATTTGTATCACAGACATGGAGAATGACTAATAAATCTGATTATAGCGAGCGGGCCATGAGGAGGGAAAAAAAAACTGCCACAGTGAGAGCAAGCTGTCATTCACCCCTATGGGCTTTTCCCTTTTTTTAATGTTATTATTTATTATGATGTCTGCCTGCATATTTCACCTTTATCTCACTTTGTATTTAACCTTTGTTATACCCTAGCGGCTACATTACCGTCACTGCCTGACGGCACTTGAGGGCGGGTAAGCGAAGGCTGGCACAGCAGGATTTTTCTACAAGTGACAATGGCTATGTGGGAATGTAACTGTTAATTAAATAAGCCTTTGCGTCGAGCCAAGACCACCTTCCAGTACAACGTACACACCGTAGTGAGGAGCACGTACACTTCCAAGACTCTACTCGTGCTCCAAAACAGCGGGACAACACAAAACAGAAAGTATGGTGAAGACTAAGGAGAAGGAGAGAGGTTCGCCCCCCCCAAAAAAACATTTAATCAAAAAAATGAATGAGACTAAAACATGGGGATGCACTTACCGGATGCCTGCCCTGAGGGTACATGATCCCAGGAGAGGAGAGGCTTCCAGTCCGTTTGACGGCCAGGTTAGTCCCCTGGCCCTCCACTCCTCTGCCCTCCACGGGTTCACAAAGTCCACTTCTTCTTCTTCTTCTCGCAAAGTCAATCCAATGCGGGGCTATCCAACACTGTCATGAGAACACACAAGACTTAGTTTCCACGCTCTCCTCTTATCAGTCTTCCTCCTGCTGTGATCAGTCAAGGTCCAAACAGAGTGACATGACAATTACATCCTCTCTCCTCTTCCTCCTCCTCCTCTTCTTCTTTTCCTTTTTCGTCTCCCCCTCTTGCTCCTCACGTCTCCTGGTGCCCTTTCTTCACCCGGTCGTCCACTGACAGAAACATAAACACACAGATGGATGGTCTTCCTCCTTTGTGACACGCTGCTGCAGAATGGAAGAGGAGGGATGAGGAGGACAGAGTGTGAGAGAGCTTTGTTTTTTTAATATGATTGGGGGGGTCAAAAAAAAAAAAGAGAGAGGAAAACAGGAAAGAAGAGCAGGTCAGTGGAGGATCCAGCGGGCTTTTCAGCAGCAAGCCCTAGACTGTAATATATTGTGCCTGTTGGCTTCAACACAAACAGGACAGGCTGCTAAAGCTGCTCTTAAGGTGGAACTGAACAGATAGGCGGAGGGAGAGACAGAGCGGGAGAGACGGCTCTCTTTTCAGTTATGGTCTCACACATACACACACATACACACATACATACACACGCACACAGAGCAATCAGTCATGCGCAAAGACTGATAAGGAATTGAGATTCCCAAACAAACGCTCCAACATTCAGACACCAATTCGCGTCAGTTATCACCGCGCGCGCACATGCACGCCGTTATTACTCACGTTACTCGTGGAGATAACGCCACGCACGCCTGCTCTTCACATGTAGTGACGTACATGAAATATGGAGACGGCAGTGAAAAATGACACGCGATATGCTGGACAACTGCAATCCTATTTGTCAAAGAAATGAATTGAATTAAAGTCAAACGGTCACCAGAAAAAGAAAAAAAAAATAGAGCAAGGTTCGACATTAATGATGGCCCAATGGCCCAGCGCCACAGACACTACCCAACTTCAGATGTCTAAATTCCTTTCACTTTGAACATTCTTAATTGGCATGCAAGTGTAATGTGTCTGCCGCACAACGAATGACGTGACCCAAGCCAACCGGACGGTCTGCAACTACTTTTCACAAATGGTCTAATGTCAGCAATTAGTTTTGCGAAATTTTGAATGGCAAGTGAATGTTGCAAATGTCGCAACCAATCAAAAATACCACATTGGATCACACGATCTTTAACAATATAAATTACTTTTATGCCTACATTTCAATTTCCAGGCTACCAGGCAGGGTATTTGTCAGACACACACGCATGATCGGGGGAGGGGGGGGAGTGGTCTCCAAGTGCCCACTCCACAGTGGCCAAACTTTACATCATTCAGAAGCGGAGATCTTCTTGCAGTTCTTAGCGTGTCCATCTCCTGCATGGACTCTAGTGAGTCCGCTTCCATCATGCAGTGAATTTAAAGGGAATGAGGGGAGCCTCTTCCATTGGATGGCAAATAGGTCTGCTGTATTCCTCCCACAACTGCGCAAACACCCCATTCTACCTATCCCACAGTTTGACGCCACTTTGCGCTAGACATGTGCTGCGTACAAAAATAGGGTCCTTTGACTTTCCTCTCCACACAAATTGTGATGCGGAGGGTATACCGAAATACCGATTGTCAGGTGTTTTACTATAAGGGAAGAACACCAAAGTAGCAGCAAGAAAGTGTCCCTCCAAATGAAATGTCATCCAGATCAAGTTAAGGCAGTGGCACTACGGCAGGTGTCACACATGACGTGATGAAGCTTTACACCCACACGTCGTCAAAAATCACTACCTCAAACACGGAGGGGGATTAACAACATGCCAGAAAAACCCTACACGAGTCCAGTTAAAAAGATCTGTTTTTCTATTTCTGTCCCGGCTGTTACCTCCTTTGCACACGTTATTTACAGGACGGCTCGGTAAGTCGCGTTATTTAAAGTCTTTCCATGTTGAGAGCACCAGCCTGGCCCAGACGTCTTTTGGCCCCGCTTCATAATGACTTTATCCGTCGCAGCTCTGCCTTTGAACTTGATCAAACAACCATTAATCCGGCACTGTTGAATTGGACACAGCCGTCTTGGCATGTGGGCGCAGGGTTTCCAGTAAGGCATTTGATAACAAGAGGGTCAGCCAGAGGGCAGCCCTCAAGTGTTAATTATGGTCACATACAGTACTGACGTCCCGTTATACAATACGGGACATTAACAAACTACTTCTGGGGAACGCCTCCTTGCACAGTCCGCTAAATTCAAGTTGGACTTCTTGTCTTGGTAACAGCAAAGACAATGACAAATTGCATCATTACAGTGGTATTTCGTCTTACAAGTGAAATAACATCGCTCAGTGGATTTTTTTTTTTTGTGTGTGTGTGTGTGTGTGTGTGTGTGTGTGTGTGTGTGTGTGTGTGTGTGTGTGTGTGTGTGTGTGTGTGTGTGTGTGTGTGTTGGCATTGTGGTCATTTTAAAACATTAATATCTGAAAATATCGATATATTTGAACACAAGCCGTGTAAACACAAGCGGACAGAACATACAACTATATTCCACAGGCATATATTCTTTATCCTCAGAGGAAAATGACTAATATTGCAGCTTCCTTGAGACAGTCTTCCGTGTTTAATCATCATTTGTAGATTTGTGGACGTAACGCCTTTTCAGATTTTTTAAGGATCTGTGGGAACCATGCCAAAGCATAATTTATCATTTGATTAGAATTGTGGCAACATCAGCAGTTCCAAATGCATCTATTTACAACGGTGAGATTACCCACAAGAACAGAAAGTTGACAGGTCGACTTTGTCCTCCATGTCTCGATATTCAACAAAAGACAAAGAAACAATGAGCGTATCCCTGAGAAGGACTCTGACCCACAAACCAGATACTAGATTTGCCGCTGATATCATTGAAAACAAACACGTAATTCTGGCTCAGTCTCATAGTTTGTATGGAAATTGTATCGGGCCTGCAGACTGACTTCCCTGCCAGACAAACACACCTTGTAAAACAACCGTTCTCATGGTTCTACACAACAATACACTGGAATGTAATTTAAATTATTTCATCATATTAGAATTAGATATTATTTTATGAACCCCTCATGTGATAGAGGGAAAAACCCACCAGATTCGGAATCAGCGCCAAAGGAAAATAAAAATCATTTCTAAAAGTTCAAGTGAGACCAATGGCATTTCCATTCAGTTCATTGCGGAAAGATGATTTTTAGATTCAAATGCTTTGCATTAAAAACGCGTCACGAATTAAAATGATCTCTCCAGACACAACTGTATTGTGCTGTATTCACATCTTTTTGGTCGAAAAAAAAAAAGACTTTTTAAAATGTGTCTTGCTGACGTGAACCCTAACAAAATGGCGTGTGTTCACTGAGATGGCTCAAATATGACTTAAAAATGAGAGTAAAGAGGGTCTTGATCTTAAAAACACCTGTCAAAATCACTTACCAACACGATCATTTGATGAGGGGAAACTACGTGATGTATTTGAGTACTTTGACCAAAGAGGTTCGTGGTTAATAAATTCCACATGAGACGGCGCACTCTGTTTGGAGATGGGGCGTGGGTTGTGTTCCGAGGATACTCACTAATAACACATGTAAATAACTATCGATGCACTTAGAATAGTGAGAAAAGATGACATTTAGAAAAGGTCACCTGTCATGAAGAGCACTACTCTGCCTTCCACTTCCTGATACAGCAACAACAAGCTCCAAAAAGCGCGCGAAGACTCATTTCCAGTCCTTTTACGTCTCAATTTCGCCTATTCAGATGCGGCTATCGCCTGGTTCCACCTTAAAAGCTCGGCTTGCCGGGAGTCTCTCCTTGCGCGGTGAGTGGATGAAGCTGAGCCAATCGTCTTCGCTAAGACCCCACGTTGGGTCCTGACGTTTTATCAGGCACTGACCAATGGGAGCGAGGAGACGACTGGGAACGGAAGAGGGAGGGGAGGTTTGAGGAGTCTTATGGGGATTGTGGGCATTGAAGTTCCAATTATTCTGCTCGTGCTCGCGCAAACACACACACGAACACACGAACATACAGGCACACGCACACACGAACACGCACACGCACGGAGCGAGTGAGCGCACAAAACACCCACACTTGACCGTCAGTCACGCCACGCAAACGCTCACTAAATTCCAGCGTTAATTTCAACTCCTAAAGAACACAAATAAAGCGTTTAGAAGACAAATACACCTTGCCAGTTTGTTTCATATTGACTAGATTTAAGTTAACATGTCGACTAAAGTGGAGGGAAAAGAACTCGATTTGAATCCCAGACTTGATTATGAATGTAATTATGAGTTGTATAAAACACAATGTATTAAATACATAATTTTTTTGTCATGTTACATTGTTTAACATAAAACGCGGGCCCAGTAAAAAATAAATAAATAAATAAAATAAAATTCTTAATTGTTTGCTTCCCTTCACAAGAATAGAATAAATAAATAAATAAATAAATAATAGACGTAAAAAAATAGTCACTGTGCGATTGAATGATTTATGATTAGGATTTATATTGGTGCCCATTGTTTATGTCTATTCAATGAATACAAAACAAAGAGTCAAAGTTCATTAGGACATATTTATGAGCAAGATTTTCAAGGTAAATGTGAAACATAGAGTAAGTCGGGTAATACTTTCTCGATATGTTGCAATTTATGAGAAAAAACTTTTCAGTGATGTTGAAAAAGTGCCCACACATAAATATTTATAGTTCAGTATGGAAAAAGGTCATAGCGTTTCTCGACATTAAAACACACGTGATATCAGTAAGAAAAATAAAATGGATTTTTGTAGCTCTACCATAAACAGTACGGACACCGCATGCATTGACTCCAACAAATAGCAATCAAAAAGCCATTTGTCAAGAAATGGCTTATTTGATTGGCGATCAATAAAAATAGATTACAGCTTTTGACTTCAACAATCAGCAGAACAATGTAAAATTGATCCCCGTGGCTCTCAAGGCGGCAGAAACTCTGCAATATTGTGTTATAAGCCTCCGAACCTGCAGGAGGCGCTAATATGTATTTGCTGTTACAACACAAAAGCCAGGATTGCTGCTGATTTTTTTATTGTAATCGTAAATAACTTTTCACTGTCTGGCTTATCGCGTCCGTCACTTAGCCTAAAAGTGTTGACATAATTCCGTCGGTATGTCCTGGAATGAAGGCCTGGGGTGGGGTGTTGCCTTTGCCTTCATGCCAGTGAGCAAATATGATCTTGCAACCCTGCAAGCGCAATCATTCAACGATGTGTGCTTGAGTGTGTGTGTGTGTGTGTGTGTGTTTGCTTTGCATGTGTTTTCTTTGTGTGTGTTTGTGAGATGTTTTGACACGAACATCGTATATGTGGGACATGTGCAGGAACGGCGTGCCAGAATTAGCTCCTTCCAACTTCTTTCCTGCTCCCCGGCAGCAGGAAAGAACTGTGTCACTCGTGTGTGTGTG